AGAACTGGAATACCATAGATTGTTTTTTCAAAGTTAATATAATAGGTTAATATATGCACAAATATATACAATTTTCATAATTCATAACACAAAATAAACAAAGAAACAATTCAACCTAACAGAACCCAATAGAGCCCGATACATATCAATCGTGCATTATTCTAGACCAATAATACTTGACATAGCCCAATATTGTCTGATCCACTTTGTTGGATGTTTCTACTTCAAATGTGCCTTATATCATATGATCAGGCACTTATCGGGTTGCTGAAAATGTATGCCCAATAGTGTCTGATTATCAGGCAATCGAGCAATAATCGTCTTCTACCTCTAGTGTAAACATAGCTGAAAGCCTAAAACTACTCCAAATTTACAACCTCAACTATTTTATATCACATTCCTACTCATAAATTAACATAATAAACATATATTTTAGTCGAACCAAGTTTATATATAGTAGTTAAGATCAAATCTGTAAGAAACTTTCAATTATATACTAATCTATCAAATATTTTAAATCATAAATAACATATCTATTGGGCTGTGGCTTTTAACCAATAAAAAAACTCAACAAATGAGTCAAATTACGTCTTCTTCTCAACAAATTAAGCTTTAGTAATGTTGGATGATGTGAGAACTTGTTGATAAAAGAGAAAATTTGAGAGAAGAGAAGAGAGGTGTTAGGCTAAGTAGGGTTGAAAAAACAAACTGAAAACCAAACCGAACTGGAAATCTAGACCGAAAAATCGGTTTTTTGGATTAATCAATTCAATTTTGGTTTAAAAAATGATCAAACCGATTTTCCAATTCCGTTAATGGTTCAAGGGTTCCTTTTCCCCCACTTTTTATTGGGTATTGGTATTAGCCATTAGGTCTGCAGTCTTACCACTTTTTCTTGGGTAAGTTTCTTTTTCTTTTTCGTCTTCCTCCTTTCACTACTTTTCTCTCTCTTTTAAGTTTTTCTTCTTCTCTTCCTCTCCTTCTTTCATTTTCTTTTTCTTTCCTGTCTTCTTCTCTTGCTCTCCTTCTCTGCTTTTCTTTTTCTTTTTCGCCTTCTTCTCCTTTCACTTTTATGTTTCTTTTTCTTTTAGGTCTTCCTCATTTCTTCTCCTTCACTACTTTTCTGTTTGGATTTGGGTAAGAGGAGAAGAGAACGCCATGATCGGACTTCAGCCTTCTTCTTCTTCGATGGTTTGGTAGATTTTTAGTGTTAGGGTTTGTCTGGAAGCTCTGCGCTTTTTGTTTATGAGATGTCTCAATCTGAGACTGAGTGAGACTGATTCTGTGTGTCTCAGGTGTTGGTTTGTTGGTTTGCTTGTTATGTAAGTCGTTGGATTGTTTTTTGGGGTATTTGAAACTGACGGTTGCGAGGCGTCCACTTCTATTCTAAAGAGTCAAACTTCAAATTTTATTTGAGTTATTTTAAAACCGGTTTATAAATTGGTTAACTGATAACTGAACCGATAATTCGGTTTGGTTAATAACCGGTTCAAATGATGATTCAGTCCGGTTTTGGTTCAGATTATCCTTTGAATCGAAAAACTGGTTCGGTTTGAAAAGTGGGCAATCCAATTCAGTGTAAAACCCCCCTCCAGTCAGGTATCCTCTGAATATCCCTCAATGAGAATCCCGAGGATACATGTCTGGAGAACGAGTTGTATTTAGGAAAAATCTGTATAAGGATAATAATAATAATATCCAAAACATGCATATAAAATGTCACGCAGGATCCAAACTTATAATTTACAAACTTTAAGAAATTACACAATCAAAACATATTTATAGGGTGGAAGCTTCCAAAGGTATTTCACAAATATTTATCATTTACATTATTTACATCAAGATAAAAACATCGAGATGACAATAAATCATCTCCCCTCACGTGTAGTCCCGCTGTCTCTAGCATCCCTCGCTTCTAGTCTACCTGCAAAGCAATCAACAATGAAAGGGTGAGCGCTAATCGCTCAGTAAGGAATGATCCGTTTCATTCTAAATGTACTATTTGATCTTTATTTAAACATATCTGTTAACACATCACTTATCTTTTACATCTAGGGATACTTCCCCTTTTATTACTAATTCATATGCTTTTCATCATTTTATCCCATGGCTATATAAACATCAATGTGTACACATACAAATAAGTATGTAAACATAGTACACACACATCACATATCATGACATAACATCTAAAATCATCTAACATGAGTATAAATCATCTCATGATGTAAATAACATCATAACTCATGTAATGCAACTAAATGCATATGAAACATTTAACGTCTAGCCGATCGGACCTTTCTTAGCATCTTAAGCACTTCATATCATCTAGCCTCAAATTTCATCTAGAGCTCATATCATCAGGAGGCATGCTTACGCGTTATTTAGCATCTAAAGCATATATTCATCTTTCCTCAACCGGTATACGAGGATATGCTTACGCGTTTTCCATCGTGTCTATATGCATCTCTATCATGTCTATTTGCATCTCTAACATCTTATGGCATGTAAATACATATTTTGGTGAGCTTAATACTTTTAATTCATTTATGGATTATCAACCCATTTACATTACCTCTTGCTCACATACATCATCTTAGCACATGTATTACATTGCATCTTCATGCCATTTCATAACATTAATCATGCATTGACATCATGACCATGTATATCTTTCAAAGATCATCTAACTAATGGGCAAACATTAGTACATGGCATAATTACAATAATACATTAATAATCAATTCATAATCATAAGAATTGATTATGTTAAATCTTAAACTTTAATAACCAATTTATGCTTCAGGCCATTTTCCATCCTTTTCTCAAATGAATTAGCTCTTGGAATAAACATAAAAGTTATAGGTCTGTGTCTTAGCTTTCTAATGCTTCAAGAATCATCTCATTTCGATTTTTATAACTCAAGTTATGGTCAAAATATAGAAGCAGGGTTAACAAAACCTCCAAGCTCACTAAATCCGAATTTTCATATTAACTATGCCACATCAATTCTTATTAATATTAACCAATAGGTTAACTTATGGATCAAATAGACCTCCTCTTAATAGTCTTTAATATCTTAAAGGAAGTGTAAAATCTCATTCCCATAATAGTCCATTATTGCTATAACATGGTAAGCAAATGCAAACAACACCTCAACACTTCTAATAGCAACCATTCAACACCATGTGGCCTCCCATACTACAAGTTTTGCCACAATCAGCATCCATAATTCATTTTCTTCAATCAAACATAACAACTCATAAAACATAAATAGTCATAACTTCATGTATAATGAATTCAAAGCAATAAGTAGAATAAATGAGTTCAACTACACTTGCCATCAACTATTTCTATGCCTTAAAGCTTTAATTTAAGGTCTCATAAAAATCTACAAACCCTAGCATAAATCCTAAAGTCATGGGAGGTTCTTCCTTACCTTTTTAAAGTCTTCCTTCAACAAATCCTTTGTCTTTGACTTCTTTTACACCTTAATCCTACATATATAACATTATACCTCAATATCTACTTCAAATCTTCAAATTACATCAAAACTAAAGTTTTTAATCCTTACCTTAAACCCTTCAAATTGAAGATCCAAGGCTCCTATCTTGTTCTCCTTGAAAAATTATGCAAAACTTCTGGAAAACCTAGAGAAAGAAAGCTGGTTTCATGGAAGATTTGAGAGAAAATGGAAGAAATATTGAAAAAATGCTCTCTCCATTGGCTTGAACGAATTTCATCTCATTTATAGGAAAATATTTCATTTATTTTACAAAATTATGCTATTGGCCCAATTATTTTAATTGTATAACTCATAAGTCCTTAATTCTTCATATAAGGACATTTTGGTCATTTCACACTAAACATAATTATTACTTAATTAATGCCATTAAATGCAATGAAGCCTACTCATCCTTGACTTTTTCAATGCTTATCCATAGGCAAAATAACCATAAATATGTGGAAGTGATATGAAGTGATAATTTTTTTTTTTTTTTTTTTTGAGCTTTTTTTCAATTCAACCTTCAATTAGGGACATTTAATATAATTTCTCATAACTTAAATTGTCTAATTTCCATTAGTCTAAATATTTGGAGAAATTCACCTTCATAGTCTAGAGGACCAACCATATAATAAAAACCCACGATTCAAAAAGTGCTCCAAAAATTTTATTTACGAGGGTTTACTATATATATTATGCTAAATAATAGTACAAAAACAAATTTTTGGCTACAACTAATAAATTTATTTATTTTTTATTATAATCGATTTTTCTATTACTAATATCACTTCTTCGAACCTTAAAGAGTTGATTTGACAGTCAAGAAGTTTTGCTCAATTTTAAATCATTTTGAAACCATTTATCATATTTGTGAATTACCTTGAAACATTAGACACCGATCAATTAAAAAAAAAAATATATATATATTCCTTATAGTTGATAGTTTAAACACTATATTATATTAGCTTAATTTAAAAATGGGGTTCTCGAGCTCTCCTAACTAGGGGTGTTTAAAAGTGATTAACCGATTCGGTTAACCACTTTTTTGAACCGAATCAGTTTGGGAAAATTCCTGAACTGAAACCAAATTGGTTTGGAGGGAAAACCAGTTTTGAACCGATTTTCTCTTTTTTTTATAAAACTTAATTTTTTTTAATTTTTTCCTAAATTAAATTGTAAATATAAACAGTACATATCTAAATAAAAATTAAACATTCATACATACCCATTGATTACTATTAACAATGCATTAAAAATTGATACAAATAAAAGTCTGAAATTAAACTATTTTTTATTTAATATATATACAAAATCGGTTCAAAAAACTGGTTTTGGTTAATCTTTTTTTATTTTTTTCAAACCGATTTTTCGGTTGTGCTCGGTTTTTGCAATTTTTTTTTAATACCCCTACTCTAACACCGAAAATTCTTGAAACATCCAATCAAAACACGCCAAATTCACAAAAGCTATTAACTGAGTTTGATTAGCCAATCAAAATCAACCGAACACGTAAGCCATAAAATCACTAAAAGGCCGGAGTTTTCTATATTTTGCTTCTCTTTGTTCACAGAGAATTCTAGAGTAGCTCCCATGGCGTACATCGAGCGAGGTCAGACTTTTCCTCTCTCTTTCAAATCTTCTTTTCGATTAATCATTTGATGTTTTCAATCCTATTTTCGTTCTCAAGTTATTGTTATGTTTTCTCGTCTTTGTACCTATAGATCGTTAATTAGAATCTCTTGAACGCTCATGTATTTAGGGGTTCGTTCACTGATCATTTCTCTGAATTCTAAATTATTTTATTTTCTGAATTAGTGATTGACATAGATTTGGGTGTTTTTGTTTGTGCATCTGTTGCGTGATCGTGGGATGGGATGAAAATTGATCGAGGGTTTCTCGTATTACCATAAAATTTAGCGATCGCGTTGACCTGAATTAGACTTACTGATCGGAGAGGTTTTGATTATAATATGAATTTAAGAGGAAATGACTGGCATTGACCCGAACTAGACTTAGTTTCGTGCGTGAAATGTATTAGGTTTATATATATATATATATTTACTACATTCAGGTCTGGTACTGAGATTTTTTATCAGTGACTCGTAATAAAACATCTTAACTGAAAAACAGAATATAGTGAGGCTGATATTATGTATTTCGTGGTTGTAATTTTTTTATGATATGATAGGTAAGGTTTAAATTTGCAATACATCATAATATGTACTCATTTTCTTAGATTAGTTTGGGATATGTTTCCTTTATGGCTGAAGCTACTACCTGATTGTGAATCCTGACTGTATTTTACTTGCTGTTTTTTAGTTGAATTTCTTATAGTTAATTTTGTGCTTTTAATTGTATATATTCTTAGTTTGGTTTATTCCTTCTTCTCTCTCTCAACTTCTGTTCTTGGCTGTTGATTTTGATTCTGGATCAATTAAGTATTTGCATAATGAATTAAATATCTATGTACTGTACTGAGTCCTGTTGAATGTTGATCTGCCACCAATGGCCAGCATGTTTAGCTTCTGTATGCCACTAGACTCTATTGGGAGCTCTACCTGCATGCAGTTATTCCCTTCATATCCTTTTTATTGCACCTCATCATGCCACTATAGAATATGCTGCTTAAGTTTATTTCTGTATTTCAGAGGGTTTAAAGTTTCAAATAGCGATGTTACAAAGGAAAAATTGTTTGATGACTGTTAATTGATTTCTCAAGCATCTCTCCACCCCTCTTTCTAAAGCAAAACACACATTAATATACCCACTCACATAGCTTCTTCTTGTCTTGTTCTAGCAAACATGGGTACTGTTTCTTGCGCAGTTTGGTGGTTATGTTTCTTTTTTTGTTTGTTCTATTGTGCGAGTTAAACAAACCATCAAGCCAGTAATGATATGAATCCTTGTGTCTTTGTTGCTTGCTCATCAGAATGTCTTGAAATCATGTTTATTGCATTTATTTTTTTAATTTTCAGCGATGACTGGTACTTTCACATTAGCACCTCCGGTTGGAACCTTAGGCTTTTACTGTCAGAGCATTGAATGATTAAATCCATTTACATGTAGAGTTTCAGAATCAAAACCATTTTGAGGACAAAGATTAATATATTATCCCTGCATTCGGTAGTTGAGTTAAACCTTGATGGAGTGAAAATCATTGGTTTCCTTCATCTTTAATAACCTATCTTGTCTCACATGTATCAAACTAATACAATGTATGTTCATTTCTCTTCGGAAGGCTTCAAGCCAGGGTTGTTCTTTGGTGTCATATCAATGCTATAAATGATAAATCTTCTGTTATCATTCTTTACTTTTGTAAAAATTCATCTGCTATCTATTATCTGTCATTATGTTCGTCTCTGGTGTTTTGGTTTTCTTAATTATGCTTCTTAATTAAAGAGCTTATGTTCCACATTGAAATGTACTCTAAAATACTCTTGTGGCTGACCTTAGCCATGTTTTCCCGATTTACACTTCTATGAATGGAATTGAATGTGAACTTTATGAATGTTGTTTCAGGTGAAGTGAAATCTAAGCGATCAATTTGGCGTTTGAGGACAATCACAGATTTCTTTTGGGGCATTGTCAATTTCATATGCGTATTTTTTGCAACTATGTTTTCGGTAATGTCATGGTTTTGCAATGTTGGTTAGTACATATGTACATCAGTAATATAAGTTGGCATCTGTCTTATAAATTTACATTCACAATATCGTGAATTTATCAGATGGAAAAGTCGGATGCTTACAGAAAGGGCTCTGGTGCTAGCAAGAAATGGGATGGTGGCGGCCCAGGAGGTCCTGGAGGTGGTCCATATGGTGGTGGTCCACGTGGACCTCCCCGAGGACTGGATAATGTGCGAGGGCTGAATGATGTTAGAGGGAATGACCATAGTGAGTTCTCCCTCCCCGTTCTTTTCACGTTTCTGAGTTTTTGAATTGCAATAAATTTTCTTTGCATTATTTCTCTTTACATTTACTGATTTTTATTCATAAATTATAGGTTCCCTACCTGCTTGTGGCTCGTGCTGCGGTGGCTAAGTGTCGGGCGTATTTGTTGTGCACTTGCTATTATTTATGAAATGTATAATGAATTAAAATTTCGAAGTGCATATGTTAATAGAAGTTTTAAGAGATAAAGCAGAACTCTTTGTTGGGAAGTGTAAGATGAACTGAAGTTAAGAAATATGGTAATTTCAATTGCTGTTTTCGGATTACTAATAGAAATGAACCTTGATAATATAAATCAACAACATTCTCACAAGCGATTCTGTCTTCATTTTGTTCTTAGTCTGCATTTAGTGGTAGACACTGTTTTAAAACCCGGACTGGACTGGTCGGTCCAATCGAATAAAACTTGTTTATACTTAAAAAGTTGTTTTAACTCGCTCGGGTCAACAGTTTAAACCGTCNTCAATTGCTGTTTTCGGATTACTAATAGAAATGAACCTTGATAATATAAATCAACAACATTCTCACAAGCGATTCTGTCTTCATTTTGTTCTTAGTCTGCATTTAGTGGTAGACACTGTTTTAAAACCCGGACTGGACTGGTCGGTCCAATCGAATAAAACTTGTTTATACTTAAAAAGTTGTTTTAACTCGCTCGGGTCAACAGTTTAAACCGTCCGGTCTAACCAAACTGTCTGATAAACCGGTTCACTATTTCACAAGTAAAAAAAGCTCGAATTCTATTCATTTTTCAGTTTCTCTATGCAGCCATTCATTGAAATTCGCAGCTACTCTTTGAAATTACCCCTCAATCCCAATCAACTCCACTCTTTGAAGTATGAAATCGCAACCATTGTCTCAATCGTAACTCCACTCTCTAAAATCGACGACACCTCCCTCCCTCATTGGAAATCGACGACGACGCCTCTCTCCTTGCTCTACAATGACGACGATGCCTCCCTCTTTGCTCGACGACGATGACGACGCCTCTCTCCTTGCTCGACAACGATGACGATGCCTCCTGTCTTGCTCGACGATGATGACGACACCTCCCTCCCTCACTAGAAATTGACAACGACAACAATTGAAGGCACATATGGTTTATTTGATTCTCTTTTTTCTGTATTCGGAAGTATTGTTTTGATTATTTGATTGGAAGTTTTGTTTTGATTATAATGCTTGGTTTATTTGATTGGAAGTTGATTTTTTTCTTTTTTTGGCAGAATCCTCCAGATTTGGAAGTTTTGTTTTGATTATTTTATTGGAAGTTACTGAATTATTTTACTCGAATCTGGAAGGTAATTTGAAGGTACTTAGATTATTTATGTTTTCTCCCTCTGGTTGAATAACCCAAATTTGCCTAAACTTGAGAATAAAGAGATATAATGCTTAAATTAAAAGTTAAGGTGCCTTTTGGAATAGCATTCTGTTTCTGCATTTCAAGCATATTGTAATCTAAAAAAGTTTTTGTCGATTATAAATTTTTGGTGGAGCTATAACATATTATATTATATGTTGGGATTGCTGTTAAATCATGTTTGGATTGTTATTGAATCTGAATTATGTTGGTGCTGTAGTTAAGCTGTTATTGAAAATTTGAAACTTGTTCAAAAACGAAAAATCTGGTTTTTTTTTTTTTTAAGTGCTAATGTCATCATACTGACGCAGTATTATGACATCATCGGTCCAACCGGTTGGATCGATTGACCCATGACCCGGGCAACAGAACGGGTTGTCCTCCAGTCTGAGTTTTAAAACAATGGTGGTAGATTCTAACCAGCTGTATATGTGACCAGCTGACAAATTTGATTGGCCGACAACATATCTTGCATATTAATTTATTAATTCAATCAATAATTATCTAATAATTTAAATTACTTATTTAAAAATGAATATTGACTAATAAGTAGATGGGCCATACAAATGTATTCTTAGGGGTGATCGGTTCCGAGTACTATGCATTTTCTAAAGGAATCGATATCGAAATCGGAACCAGTCGGTTCCTAAGATTTGGAACTGAAACTAGAACTAGACTTTCGGTTTTGGTTCCTAGAAACTTGGAACCAGAACTTGAAACATAGGTTTCGGTTTCGGGTAACCGGGTAAATTTTAATCACCCCTATTTTTTGAAATAACAAATATACCCCCAATAGTTTACAAAATTACAATTTAATTCTGGTTCCTACCTGGATACCCGGACCTCGGTTCCGATTCTGCTTCTCGCCTCTCGTTTCCAGCACTATAGAAACCGGAACTGGATCATGAAATTCCTGGTTCTATCTTTTACCCATGCTCACCCTTACTTATTCCAATCCCAACAGGTTGAATCCAATGTTAACTCGGTTCTCATCCCACCCAATGCTTTATTTTTTTCATCCCTAAAACCGAGCTACCTTCGTCTGTACTTCCTTTTAAGTTGACTTTTATTATTTTCTTTTCTTTTTAATACCTCTTTTTCAAGACTGGGAACTAATTTTATTCTACTTGAAAGTTAGTGCATGAATTCAATCCAAAGGCTCTGCTAAATTTGACCAAAAAAAAAAAAAATGGGGGAGAGACCAAGACTGCTACAGAGTTATGTGATGCACTCATCATGCACATGCATATTTTTGTTTAGAACTTTAGACAATCACGCATTTTCCATCTTGTCTAATTTCGAAATCTTCTCACAGTGATCCTGCCTACCTTACTCTCGAAACATCCTTGCTTAATTAACAAAACAAACAAAACTGTTCACTTCATAAAAGAAATAAGGGGACCATTACCAATAACATTAACCAGTCTCTGTGACCAGGACATTAATTTACTGACACAGCTCACAAATTGCCATTACCCATTTAACATCGCCACAAACTAAACGACGAAGTTTGTTGTAGAATGTTGAATTGATGCTTGATTGATCCCCAAATGGCGAGATCTTTAAAGTTTAGGTAAATTTTCTGGTCCCAGTCTTTCAAAAAGTAATAGTTTAATCCCCAAAGATAACAAAAGAAAGGACTGGTAAAGTCTTCCTGCAATATGCAAGCTTCATAGAGACTACAATGAATTATCTTATTAATAAGAAAGTATAAGTACTCATCACATGGTTCTTCTCCGACTTGAAACATTCTTAGTCAACTAGCTAATTCTTAGCCTAATAAAAAGACGACTTAAATGAATTGTTGTATTAAGAAATTGATCAAATGGTTCTTCTCCATCCATCGTCAAACACTCCTAATCAACTTGCTAAGTCTTTACCCTAATTATTACTTATCTTCTACAAGCAGTGTTGGAATTTTGACAACTATGTTTCTTAAGGATGGGGGAACCTTGGAGTTGGACAATAAGTAGCTTTGGGAACTTTTAAGATGAGAAAAAGAAAATAAATCAAGAAGAATAAGAGGATTAATGAAAACTTTAATGGATGCATTTGTTTGGTACATCTTGAACTAAATTATTAGGTTTTAATAAAAATAAAAAAATTATCACCTCATCCATTAATTGTAAGCAACAAATATCATATAAAAACGATCATTTAGGTCTCAACTTTAAGTGCAAAGGAGAGTCAAACTTGATCCAGCTAGATCTTTTTTCAAACTCATTTTGGTCAAGTCAATATTAGACAAGTGTAATCACAATTGACCCTTTTATGTTTTCTTAAATTACAAAGACCATACCAGTATGGAAATTTAGACTTTAATACCTGTTGTGTGTGGTTTTTCAGCCAATGCGAGGATGTAGCTTTACCCAGAATGATCTCGACAACTATGATTGATCGACCCAATATAAGTTCGTCGAGCCGTAGCTCGACCCAGCATAAACTAGTCGCAGACAATCTGAGGAATTAATCAATCAATCCTCCGATTACTTTAGATCCCGAATTTCGAAGGAATGACTGGATCAACAGTTGTCGTTGCGCAATATAGCGCTCAATCATAAGGATATCAGAATTATGATTCAAACCATTTGTAATCCCCTAAATTTCGATATTTCCTTTATGTAAATCTTGTATATAAACCCCCTAAAACGATGAGGAGGGGGATACGAATTTTAGATTAAAACTACATTGTTAGCTCTCACAACATATATAAAAAAAACACAGTGGACGTAGGCTGTTAACTTCGCGGAACCACTTTAAAAGTTTTATTTGTCACTTACTTTCTAGCGTTATCATTCATCCATTGTTGATTACCGTAATCACGCATACATCAGTTCTGATCCTGACAAAGTTGATCGGATCTCGCTATTTGATGTAGATTTTTTTAAAAGCTATTAAATTTTGAAATAACCTTGTTACCCTTCAATATGAGTTTAACAGCTAAAATATTACCTCCAAACTTATTAAATTTTCTCTCACTAGCAAAAGAAAAAAAAAAAAACTTATCAAAATTTTGTATTGACTAAATAAACTGAAGAATATAACAAAATATGAACACCTTGAAATCTGAACTCGACCTTGTGGCAACCGTTTGAGGCCTGAAATGACTTTGAGTCGGACATGCAAGGCCAAATTTGGCCTCATGAAGGTTATGAGAAGCCAATTTCACTCACAACGCTGTAGGAGGCCAATCGTGCGATGCTAAATTTTGGTCCTGCAACATCCTCATGTGGTTAATTGATCTTGTGGGAGCCATGAGTAGCCAGATTTGGGTTGGAAAGTTTTGGGGAGGAGGAAAAATGTTATTAAAAAAATTAAAAAGCTTAAAATATCCTTCCAAAAGAGAAAAAAGGATCTCATCAGCTCACTTTATTAATGAAATGACACCATCCAATAAATATATGTTAATTTATTGTTATTAATGAATGATACCGATTAATTATTCATGAATTATGTTGATGGGTAGATTAAAGAGAGAATTTGACAAATGTGCGACAGCACGTATCATTATATTATTGAACAGGCTCACCATGCCAGAAAAATATGGTGAGATTATTTCATATAAGTATTTTCTCATTCTAAGGAGTTGTTCCTTTTTTTTTTTTTTTTTTTTGGGGGGTGGGGGGGTTAGGGAACAAGAGTTAAAAGGTTGAAAATCTCATATCAATGGGTGTTCTTTTTAATTTGAAGAAATATATGTGCTTATCAGAAATACCCTTAAAAATTACCGTGGTTAAGGGCTTTGACTTTGACTTTGCATTATATATACAAAGACGAAAATACCCTCTAAGCTTATATTGATCTAATCCTAAAATTCTCTAGTTAATATTTAAATTCTGGAATTGGACGACTATAATCCCTTTAACTGTAATCAAATAAACTAAGTAGAAGCCATATATTTTAATTCCGAAATTCAAGGGGGAGCAGCGGAATAAGAAAACTGTATATTTTCTTATATAATTTTTTTTTTTTTTTTGTCGTATTATTCTTCGAACTCTATAAAAGAAATACGAGAGCTAAAGCTTGTCACATTGATACGAACCATTTGGCATTTGAGGTTGAAGAAAATTAATATCATGGCGATCGAAACAGTGCAATCCATTGTACTGAAAGAAAAAATCCCGGAAGAGTTCATTAGGTCACAGCATGAACAACCTGGGATCACCACCGTTCAAGGGACCGTTCTTGAGGTCCCAGTCATCGATTTGAACGACCATGATCAGGAAAAAGTCCTGAATTTGATCGTTGATGCGAGCCAGAAATGGGGGATGTTCCAAATTGTGAACCATGGAATCCCTTTTCAGGTTTTAAGCAAATTAAAAGAAGTCGGGAAGGAGTTTTTTGAGCTTCCACAGGAAGAGAAGGAGGTTTATGCTAAGCCTCCCGAGTCTAAAGGCATAGAAGGCTACGGAACAAAGCTTCAGAAAGAATTACAAGGCAAGAAAACTTGGAACGATCATTTGTTTCATAAGATTTCTCCACCATCAGTTATTAATTACCGATTTTGGCCTAAAAATCCTCCGTCTTACAGGTATGTAAATGTAATTTATAGGACGTACGTAGAATTTGTCCTTACTGAAAATCAAATGCTAACGTACTTTCTTTAACTGAACTATATTTACTATATTAATTAAAAAGGGGTTATCGATATTTTTATTAATTAATATAAAAATGGATGCAGGGAGGCAACAGAAGAATATACGAAGTGGCTGCATGGGGTGGCGGAGAAGCTTTTAAAGAGCTTGTCGTTAGGATTAGGGCTTGAAGAAGACGAGGTGAAGAAGGCTTTGGGTGGTGAAAACCTTATTTATCTTCTGAAGATAAACCATTACCCGCCGTGTCCTCAGCCGGAGCTGGCTCTTGGTCTGGCGGATCACACGGACATGTGCGCCATCACTATTCTTTTGCCAAATGAAGTCCAGGGCCTCCAGGCCTCCAGGGATGGCCATTGGTACGATGTCAAGTACGTTACCAATGCACTTGTCGTTCACATTGGCGATCAAATGGAGGTAATATAAATAATATTTTATATATATATATGGTTAATATCGTTTTAATGCTATATGAAATTGAGATGTATGTATTGTTTATATTAGTTACTTTAAAGTTGGGGTTTAAAAAAAAAAAAAAAAAAGGAATTGATTAGCAAATTTACGGTGGACAGCAAACTGACGGAACAATATTAATGGCGAACTGAAGCCGATAACAATGGAAATGAGAGATAAAAGTACGTCAAAACATTTAAAATTTCAATTTGTTTAAGGAAGAGACGAAAATTGCNTTACCAATGCACTTGTCGTTCACATTGGCGATCAAATGGAGGTAATATAAATAATATTTTATATATATATATGGTTAATATCGTTTTAATGCTATATGAAATTGAGATGTATGTATTGTTTATATTAGTTACTTTAAAGTTGGGGTTTAAAAAAAAAAAAAAAAAAGGAATTGATTAGCAAATTTACGGAGGACAGCAAACTGACGGAACAATATTAATGGCGAACTGAAGCCGATAACAATGGAAATGAGAGATAAAAGTACATCAAAACATTTAAAATTTCAATTTGTTTAAGGAAGAGACGAAAATTGCCTAACTTGCCAACCAACCTATTAAGTTTGAGCCCCGCTATAAAGTATAGATATGCCTAACAATATGAATATTTAAAACCACGTTTCGTGGTCGAGTGGTTGAATAAAGATTCTTAGGATATTATCTAATAAGCATAGAAATCGATTCAATTCGGTTGTTAAAAAAGAGTGACCATTGAAAGTTTACTTAATCATTAACTTCAAAGTTTTGGGATTAATTGAAGTACAAACAAATTGATCCGAATACTCGGATAAAAAAAAAAAGGGTATTCAACTTTTTTATCTTTTGACTTTTAACTTGACTAATTTCTTGATTGTTAACCTTTTTTCGGTAAACTTATTTGGCAGATTTTAAGCAATGGGAAGTACAGGGCTGTGCTCCACAGAGTCGCAGTGAATAAGGAGAAGACAAGACTCTCATGGCCAGTGTTCTTAGAGCCAGCAGTGGACCTGGAAGTAGGGCCTCATCCAAAGCTCGTTGATCAAGAAAATCCTGCGAAATACAAGACCAAAAAATATGGTGACTATGCTTATTGTAAGCTTAACAAGATTCCTCAATAAGTCACTCACCAGCTGTCCATCTAGTCTGATTAATAACAGTAATTAAGATAATAAATATAATTATCTTAATTACCACTCTGTGCCCGTAATTGTCGTTTGATTTAGTAATTTTAAGTATTTAGCGATAATGTTCAATTGGGTCAATAAACCAAGTAGAGATACAAACGTTACGTTAATTGTTGGTTCAGTACAAAGTGTTTCTTGTCGACATTTTATGTAAACAGGACAACCTCATTGTCAATAAGATTATCAAATAAAATAATATGACAGAAATTTGTTGTATAAAAAGATATCTATCATTTTCTTGGCAAAAAAGTATCTAATAGTTTCATAGCTGAAATTTTATTGAATCAAACTTAAATTGAGTTTATTGCAAATATAAATTAATAATAATAAAAGGGATCCAAAAGCATTCAAATTCTACATCTAAATCCAACTGTGCTTTATATATGGGCTCTTTTGAATTGGAGATCAAGCTGGTTATGTTCAACTTACAATTTACAAATAGAAAAAGGGGAAATTTCTGTAAACTATCTAGAAAGAGCCTACTATACTCATACAGAATATTTCATACAATATGAGTAGATGAAATATGAGTTGTGTTATGGAACAAAATCTTGTAGCTATTTACATTTCTGTTGTTTACAGAACTGCAAATAAGTTGTTTTAACATCGGAGAAGAAGTGTGTAAATTGCAATCCATTGAGAACTAGGAAATAAGATGTCATTTGTAATTCCTTGCCCACACAGGTACAGAGTATATCAGAATCCCTAACGCAAATGAGATTAGTACTGTGGCAAGGGCATATGCATATGCTCTCCAAGGTTGCTTGCTCTCCCTCATTGCATTGAATTCAGCAATAAAAGTAGAAACTGTACTCAAACAACCCAAAAATCCAAACTGTATGCCATTTGCGACCGTATTGCTGGTATTATTATTCACCTGCACCGCACAAATATATACTCAACAGAATGTCAGAACAGAAGTCCTTTGCACACATGAAAACCGAATAAGTGTTAATGGAAATGAATAAAATGGCAAACCATTAACCACGATAACTTAAATTGTTCAGACTAAAGCCTATGTAACACTAGTAACTCTTAGACACTGGCCTCATTTTTTGAATTTTGTAACTCAAGAACCATCCAAAAGTCGCATTTATGGGTAAACTCAAGACTCGGCAGACGCTCATAATTAAATGTAAAATCAGCATAGACATGTATTTTTAAGTTAACATGGACAATTGGACACACAGAGGGAGGGTGATATAAACAGAGATCAAATTGTGAATACATACCGCTTTCTTCACAGTAGCAAGTGCTGCCATGATACAAGCCGCGGAAACATTGGCAATCAGAGTACCAAATGGAACCCATTTCAGATAACCAGTCCTCCCTAGCCCACGTCCATTCAGTCGGGCTAAGAACCACCTAATCCAGACACCTAGAGGTCCAACAATGCAACCCAACCATAACTGAGCCTCACTGCTATCACTATGAAATTTCTTCTTTGTTAGCACTCCACTCGCACTCCATAAAACTCCTAGCAACAGTATCAATATTACCATTGCTACCAAATGACGCTTTAAGCTGTCCACCCTCCAGTTGCTGCTCAAGTCAGAAATTTCCTTGTTTGAACTTGTGCAAAGTCTTTTAAGAAGCCACCTGAAACCTTTGGCTGTCTCAATCCCGAAAATTATGGAGTAGGCTGCAAGAAACAGTCCTGCAAAGAACCAATATGGCAATGAGATGAGCACAGGGCTCGTTTATAATATGCTTATTCTCATGGACCAAGTTTATTCCTAAATCTCGCAAGTGCCAAGTTACCTAGGAAAAAGCCGAGGAAAGCAGGCACCCACTGGCCATTGACGCTGAGATCAAGCATTTTCTGATTCCAACCACTGAAAGTTGTAAGGCTTCCCAAGTAGCCAGTTGTCAAACCGATGGCTAAATATTCAGACACTCTGGATATGTCTCCTTTGAAAACAACACCCCACCAACCCATCAAGAAAGAACCAACCTAAAGGGATCCATATTGATTTTGCATGAGAACATAACTTTTCAAAATGATTACAATCATAAAAGGGGAGTTGAAAACAACAAATCATGAATAATTCAGTTTTGTGGGAAAATTGCAAAAGCCTATTCTAGACCAACTATAGAAGTTTCTATAAGTTAGGGAAACCAGTTTGGCGCCAGATTGCCATGGTTTTGGCTAGGATAATTGTTAAGGCTCAGGTAGAAAGCCTTTTGAGTGGCAGATGGTAAACTTTAGAAACAAATACACTTTAACCATCAAGCACCCAATAACTCAATTTCATGTCATCTCCTAGTACTCTTGAATTAAAATACATCTGTCAGTCTAATCAAAATCCAGACTATTATCCAATGACACTTTCAAATCAGCATCCATTATGTCACTCCTGAAATCTCCTTTAGTAAATATGATGGAAATTACAGATTTGGAGTTAGTGAAATAGCAGGTAAAAGTGAGACTTGTTTCTGAATGCAATATTTACCCAAGAACAAGTACAATCTCATGAGTGTATGCTTTTAAATTCTAGTGTGTGTGAAAGAGAGGTAGAGAATAAAATACCATATTAGAAGGAAGGTCAAGGTATAGAATGCTCCCTTCACTAGTCACGTGAGCAATACTGGGGCCAAAAAGTTTTTCCAGCAAATACCTTGTTAATACCTGCCCGACAATATTTTCAATGCAATTTAGTAATCTACCAATAACTACATATATTGCTTTAACTACCCCAATATAAAGGTTGCTTTAACAAACACTGAACCCGATGAAAAGCAAATTCAAATTTAAAGAAATATCAAGGGTTTGTCTCATTGTCCCATCTTTTTGGAATGGGATAATTGTAATTCCAAAGCATCTAATTATGTAATGGTTATGTATAGGCATTTAGTAACACCTCAATGGTAGTAACATCAATTCTCTAACTAATCCAGTTTAGCATTGTTCTTTACCCCCCAAAAAAAAGGCAGGGCATTAACCAAAAGTACAAGAAAGGGAGTTCCAACACTAAACCACGTAAATTTAGAGTAAGCAAAGGAGAAAAAGAAACTCCAGAGTTGAAGATGAAGTGAACATTACCGAAGGGAAAATATGGATGTTAATAGCAAAAGGAAATCCTTCAAAAACATGTCTGGCACTAGTCATATGCTGCTTTCAGTGACATTTCACTTTATTCTAATAACAATACAAAGTTTGTTTCACATACATTTTGTTTAGATGGTTGGTGCCAAGCAAGTACTTTGACACTAGGTAAAGGGATTGAAAAATAAGGCTACAAGGTAATGAACAGAATGCATAAGGAAAACAAAATGATAAATAAGGAATTCACATATATTTCAGCTGATTTTAATGCTGCCTACTGCCAATCTAAAAGTTTCAGGAAATAGAAGTTATGAATATTACCCCAAGAATCCCAAAAACAGCTAAATGGATAAGACATGATATATACTCCAATGACAATGGTAATATTTTCTCCTTCTCCTGCATGCAGAAACGTTGAAACATATAAGCTACGGGCACAGTGTTAAGGAAATAAAACAAACTTTATATGCATATTACCGCCAACACCACAGAGACTAAAAAAAAATCCATGTCAATAATCCTATATCACTAAAGAAATTAAGGAGAACTATTAAGTCTAAGCTCACCTGTTTTTGATTCTCAGAGCAAACTAATGGCTTGGTGGGAGGAGGAGTTACGATTTGCTCAGGTAAAGGTGTCACCGTAGAGACTGTATTCAGGGCAGTGGGATCACGAGACCAAAACCCCGAAGATTGCAATAGATTGTTCTCTGGAATGGAAATAGTCTCTCCATTCTCTAATGCATAATCAATTGAGAACCGCAGGCTACCACTGTCACTAATCCTGTTGCTGTGAAGCGCTCGATCCCCAATATCACCTGCCTCTGAAACAATCTCACTTTCAATGTCATTATCTAGTTGAGAGTGCACAGTACCAGACAAACTTAAGGAACGCCTTCTCAATGAAGAACTTGCACTGCTTGCTTGACCAAATGATCCACTTCGCCTAAATTCAGCAACATCAGTCCCATGCTCCATGACCCTTCACCAAAGTCACAGATCGTCCTGTAAACTTATCACAAGTGCTGCAATAGAAGTATGTGTTGACTCAATTAAACCAAGAATACAGGACAAATTGACAATAATATTGAAGCAAGTTATGCAGGTGATAATAATGTTTCTATTTTTAAATTTCAATGACTAATTGTCAACTACTACTCTTCTGATAAACTAGCATACATACGGAAAAGAACAAGTGATGACATCGATACTCTATCATAAAGTAAAGCATAAAATTTTTAAGGATAGTTGCCCAAGTACATTTCTGCAGCAAAATAAAAAAAATATAAATGGTGTCATCAAACGAGAAACCAAAACCTTTATACAATTCTTTTCTCAATTACATAAGAGGATACTTTAAGTCCTCAAATTGGAACCACTCACAAATTATAAAATATGCTTCTCATATCAAAATTATATACTTCATGAATGATGTCACTGATTAAAAATAAATTGGGTATATTAGCTGTCTGGTTCATGATTCAAGCAGCTACAAGCCATTTATAAGCGCTGTAGCAGTACAACTCACTACTTAACCATAAAGCAATCAATAATTGGCTCAACCTTTTCGGCTCCACCAATCATTCATGGCAGATTTATCATGTGAATAATCAAATAATGAATAAAACACTAACAACAATTAAAAAAAAAAAAAAAGCAAAAAGCAAAAAGAAGGGAAAAGTAAAACAAAAAGATACTTTATGAAAAATGTAAAAGAAACTTAAGCTGAAAATACAGTAACTTTCTCGGTTCAAAATAATAAATAATAAATCCACCTTTTAAACACTAGCAGATCACAAGGATATGATTGCCAAATTATGGAATAATAAAATCATTTTTAAAACACTAAACAGACCACAACATAAAAACCAAGTTTTGGTTCAAAATAAATCAGCAATATATGGCTATTTGGTTCACTATTATTATCCTATCCTATTCTACTATTCTATGATAAAAACCAAAAAATATATTTGTTTTAATATTTTCAAAATCTAATTCTATTTTATTTAATTATCAAAATATTAATAATTACTTTTTTCGTAAAAGATAACCTAATTTTATTTTTTTTAAATACTATTATTAAAAACATAAGAATAGTGAACCAAACGTGAGCCAAATATGAAAAATAAGAAGAGAAAAAATGTTCTTCGTACGTCCACATGGTGAGTTGGTGACAGTGAAGAAGCAAATAGCATCTTGTAAACTATTAGAAAATGAAGAAGTCTGGGTAAGAGTAAGACAAACCGACTTTATTTTACTTTTATATCTTCAAAATTTTCTCTAATTAAGATTCTAAAATGATAATATTAAATTTAATATATGGCCTTTAAAAAGGTAATTTATAATATCGATAGTAATATACGTTCAGAAGCAGTTTTTAATATAGTTTTCACTGTTTGAAGATGTGTCCTCCACTAAAAGAACAGAAACGGAACACAAACCGAAGATAATACAATATACATAAAAACAAAGGCAAGGCCCACTGGAATTTGACTTGATGTAAACTAAAACTTCAAAAAGAAAATCAAACGTGTTAACAAAGAATCTGAACTGCAAACTTTTCCAGTTACTTATTATACTAAAATAATCAATAATTGAACGTGAAAGTTAATTATTCAACGGAAACTTGCACATAAACAGTAGCTAACAGTCAAAACCCAGACAAACAAACAAACAAGAAAAGCTGGCTACGAAAATAAAGCAAAGCAAAGTCAAATCACAAGAGAAAGCTAACTTTTACAAGCTTTCCAAACTACAGGAAAAGAGAGAGAATAATCATACCGGCTCGACCGAAAAGTCTTCTGAAAGTTTCTCGTTCAAATGTCGACGGAACTGAAAGATAAACAAAAATGAATCCGTAAACAAGAGAGGCTAACTTTTGAAAAATTGATGAGTAGTGCATGTAATGGGAGTCAGGTGACATTCACGCGAAAAGTGGATCTGAGGCCTACTCCGGCCTCTTGAATTTGACGGCCTTTGGCTTTAAGAGATAGAAGAATTTGGTTTTTCTTGTGTTTTCTATGAACTGGCGTGAGCCGAACTATGACGATGGCCGTTTTTAACCCTCGGATTTCAACTCTCTACAATAAATAGATGAGAGAGGTTGAGAAATAAGACTGACACATGTCGGCATGTGAAGATTTGACCCGCCAAAACAACGAACAAACTTTAAGAATTAGTTTTGACAGGGATAATATCTTATCATTTTACACTATTTTTTTCATTTTTTTAAATACATGAGGAGCTATGTACGAGAAAAATAATAAAAACAAGATCCAAGTCTATTTGGTAAACTTAAATCTAATGCATATCTGTAACTGCTCAACTTACATCTCGATTCAGTCAAGAAATCAATATGATGGTGGCGCTAGAATTTGTATCACCAACTGTCCTTTTCTTGATGGATACATGTATGGTAGATGAACCAGATTATGTTATGTCCATCAGTTTCCGATTCCTTTTAAAGCGATTGATGGAAGACAAGTCATATTTGGCTACCTCTAAATAAAGCTATGTCGTCGTTGCCATACCATAGAGAGGGACTTGATTCACTTAGGGAGGAGAGCAAGGATCACATCACCTGAATGAGGGAGATCCTTGTATTGACACGTTGAGAGATTACAGATATGGTGAAATAAAAAAAGATTATATGTTACTTTTTAATATCAAATTTATTTTTGAAAAGATAAACGTGTTTTACTTTTAACTGTAACAAACAAAAAGGAAAAAAATTAAAAATAAAGTGTGAGAAATATTTTTGATTTAACTGAAAAGAAAAACAACGGTTGATCTGTTGGCTAGGATTTATGAACCTTATGACTAGTGTAGTGCAAGAGAAGAAGAAAGAGTTGGGCGACACAAAGGTTAAAAGCCAGATTTGAGAAGAGGCCAAAATGGGCCTTTTCTGCCTTGATGGCCTAATGATGTTGAAAGGGAGAACAGTTTTCTAATAATTTAAAACACAAAGGTAATTAAGGACGTTTCGGGCTCTCAGCCCAACTGCCTTTTATGTTTTCAGTTTTCACGTGTCCGTAATCAATACTAAGCAGTAAGCAGAAGAAAACTAAAAGTAGGGTGAGGGCAGTGGATATAAACTCTGGATACTTGTTGCTCCACCTGGTATGTGGACTCTGAGTTTGACTCAGACTCGCACCAAATTAATTAACCAAATTGTAAGAATGCCGTGTGAAATAAAATTATAATTAGTCTACCAATTAATTATTTTAAAATCAGGATAAAATACTCTCTCCATTTTCTCTTAATAGTTTAATAAACTTTAAAAACGACTTAAAAAAAAAAAAAAAAAACCGGGTCAAAATTAGACTGAAAGAGAAAGACACATGATTACCTTTTCTTTTTTCTTAATCGTCTTCTTTAACGGCTAAGCCGTCTGACTACAGTTATGGTTTCGTATTCCGGCGAAGAACTTGTTATGTGAGCCGCCAGCAGCAGCATGCCAGCATACAGCAACAATAACTATTTTCATTAGGCAATAACAGCCACAACGTACGTTTTCTCTCTATTCCTTACTCTTCTCAAAAACATATATCTAATAATTCTAAGAAAATAAAATCAATACAATACCATACAAAACTTTGACTAAACCCAGAAACCTCTTACAAATACTGGAGATATTGCGGCAGATATGTTGTTTAGATGATTGGAGGCCGGTTGGCGACTGCTATGGTAGGTAAGAAAGAGAGAATAAAGAGAAAATTTTAAAATAATTGTAGTAATTACTTTGAAAATAATGTGAACTTTGCACGTAATTGACTAAATGAAGCTGATGGTATATTTAACATACTTTATTGTTATTTATCTCCGAAATTATTCCTATGGATTATACACGCTTGTAAGACCTAACAACTTGCCTTGCCGTCCACGATTTCCTGATCTTGACTGTCAACACCGGCATTCAAGCACCACTAAGTATATGGCCGATAAATAGAAACATTTTCAGGAGAGAACGATTGGTCGTTTGTAACACTTACGCACAAACGACTTGTGCAGTATGTCATAGTGGTAACAATTTGGATAATAAAACACAATGTAAACCATTTGACTTGTAGTTGGATAGTAAGACTTTAAGTTATTTAGAGGTTTTGTGTTCAAGTCTCATCAAGTGATCACATCTAGAGATTAGTTAAAGTATGATACTTATTATATGATCATAAATAGTCTTCAAAACAATAATGGTCTGCAAGAATGTCGATGACAGGATCAACGAGAGAAAGTCATCGAGACTTCAACCAAGGGTGGAGAGAAGAAACCAACATTAAAGGTGGTAGGCTGAAGAAGAAAAAGCCAACATTAAGAGTGGTAGGCTGAAGTTGTAGAAGAAATGAGGAGTAAGAGAATGACGAACAAGCTTAAAAGATGAATTACTAAAAAGGTTCAAGAAGGAGTGTTGGAATATGAACACTTTTTGATAATTGATGAAGAAAAGACAAGCCGAAGAAAAGGCAAATAAATAGTCTTCAATATGATATTTTGGCATATCATTTTTTATGCTGGGTATTCCAAATAAATAGTATTCAAGCAGAAAAAATATGATTATATATATATCAGGGATGGGCACGGGCCACCCGCCCCTGGCCCGAAAGCCCAAGGGGATTCCCCGATCCCGGCACATAGCTCGTTCGGGGAATCCCCGAATAAAACCCGTTCCCCAAACTCGGAATTCGCCGTTTGGGGTTTTATGTCCTTATTAACATTTTCTCTAAATTATAATATATCATCCAAAAAAAATTAAATCTATAATGATTTATTGATTTATTATAATCAATCAAAACACCAAATAATGTATTACACATATATAACATATATATTATGTATTAACATATGATTATAGATAATAACATATTATGTATAATGTATGATATATATATGTTATATACATTATACTTAGATACCATATATAATGTATAATGTTGAATGTTGAATGTATATCATATATAATGTATAATGTACATATAATGTCGAATGTATAACTTTTGTTTCATAGCATTAACATATTATGTATAATGTATAATATATATACATTAACATATATATATATATATATATATATTACAAATATTTATAATGATTTATTATATTTAATCTAGTTTTATTTATTACTTATTTGTATATGGTTTCATAAAATACTTACACAATTATAATTTGTTATTTTATAATATATGAATGATTTTCAAATATTAAAATTAATATAGGTATATATAATATATGATTGATTTTTTAATATATATATATATATATGTGTGTGTGTGTGGTATGGGCCAGGCCAGGGATTTCTGGGCAGAGACAAAACAGGCATGGGACGGGGCGGGACAAGACCTATCATGGCCTTGGCCTGTCCCTGAATTTTGGGACTAATTTTGGGCTTGATCCTGGCCCAAATCCCGAATGATTCAGGAAACTTTGCCCCATTCGGGTCGGGTCTCCGCGAGATCGGGTTTTATGCTCATCCCTAATATATATATATATAAGATTTTATTAAATATTTTGTTAGCGGTTGTGATTGCTTTGAAATATTATTCCAAATATATATTGACTTCTTTCTTCTTAATTGTAGAATGGAATAATATGGAAGAAACTTATTATAAAAATTGTAACGAGGAATAATAGAGGTTTGAGTTAGTAATAGTCACATGCAATATGGAAGGTTAAGGATTGAGATTGAGAAAGCATATTATTTTCTTGATGGTACATGTATGGCAAATGGAGAATATTGGAGATAATGGAAGCTGAACCTTCTTATTTCATGTCCATTACGCCGTACGCGATTCCATTTAACTGGCTTGGCTCCATTCCATGGACGACAATTCACCTTTCTCTACCTACTTGAAGGCCAAGTTAATGCCAGCTAATCAATTAAATTTAAACAGTAAAGCCAAGATACATGATTGGCCTACGGAGGAGAACAAAGGATTGTATCACATGGCGGACATCTTTATATGGACACGTGGAGAGAGCAGAGATATGGTGGTCCACTGGTCCTGTCCTGAAAGTTATGGTTATTACTTAATAGTGTATCAACGGCAACTTGTTAATAATAACTTCAGCAAAACTTATTAAGCCATGAATTTTAAGAACATGGACCATGGTCATTACTTTTTCCGACGAGGCCGACGCTACGAATTGTCTGGTCTCTATCTAAAAAGAACTCAGTTTCGTCCATTATAAATTTTAAGAACATTTGCCCCCAGGCCCATTAGTTTCTTGAGGATTTCCTTTCAGGCCTAAAATATATATACTCATTACGGGGCATTTGGTTAGGGGTTATGTGAGATTACTGGAGTTAAGTCATCTTATATTACTTGATTACTATATTTGGTTGTCAAGTAATATAAGATACTGGTAATCTTCAAATACTAATAGTGGTTACTATTGGTAATATTAAAGATAATCTGATTATCTCAATTTTCTTAGGTATTCTAAGATTACCAGAGTTATCTTTTTTTGTCACAATTCTATCTCTTATTGATAAAATTTTAGGACAATAATGCCCTTATTTTTAAATTTATTTACATAAACATGACTTTTACTATTTCACCCCAATTAATTAACTTTTTGGACAAAATTACCCTTAAATTCAAAAAAAATTGCAACCCACCCAAGCCGCCACCCCCACCCACCTGCCGCCGGAAACCACCACCGTTGCCAACCGTCATCGCCACCGGAACGGCGCACAAAAGGTCGAAAATGGTCTCCTTGCGCCAATATGCCCGTTGACGGCCAGATCTAATCTAGCTGTCAAAGGCCAGATCTCTGGCCGGAAATGGCCATACGGCGCACGGAGGCCATTTTCTACCTTCCGTGCACCGTTAGGTTGTCAACTACTGGCGGTGGTTTCTGGCGCCGGCAATGGCTTGCTGGGTTGGTGGGGGTTCTTTGTTGATTTTTCAAACTTTTATTATGGGGTCGTTTTTGCTAAGTTTTTAAATACAGGGGGTTTATAATAATCCAAACAATAATCAATATTAAAAAATAATATAATAATAATATTTAATTAAAGGACAATTCAATAATTTAAATAACATACTCACCAATTTATTCCTCCCAACCAAACACATTAATATAACATATCCACCAATTAACCAAACACATTTTCCTAAAGATTCCCAATTATCTTCAAGGTAATCTAACTTTCCAGTAATCCAACATTCCTTGAACCAAACGCCCCCTTAGTATCATCTACCTTGGTCAATATAAAATATAACAATCGACTTTCACATTAAACTCCTGAATCTAGCATTGTCTGTACAATTAGATTATGTGACAGTTTAGAAAAATCATAATGGATGAAATTTAGGAGAAGCTAATGATCTCATCCACTACAAACTCTTGATATGCAAGATATTAATTGTTTTTATATTATTAAATGTGATTGTAAGATAGTGTATTACATGAAATTGTGATATTGTTAGAGTGCTAAAAATATTTTATAGATAAAGTAAAAAAAAAAAACTTATCCCTCAAAAACTCAAAAAAAAAAAAAAAAAAAAAAAAACATGTACTTTACAATTTCCTTAATACATTAGCTAAATAATTAAGAAAAAATCAATAATTTCAAATCACAATTTATTATTTTTAAATTATATTATATAAGTTAATATAAACAATAGTATTAAACATATTAATAATGGCAGTTTCTAACAAATCCCTTGAAACTTGGAGAGAAATTGATTAAAATCCCTGAACTTACCATTTAGTTAAACAGTTTTTAAAACTTAATTTATCTTATAGATAAAATAATAAAATTCGTGTAATAAATAAGAAAAAATGAAAAAGAAAAGATATTTTATAGTTATACAATGAGTAAACGACACATTCCCACCTAAGGTTTGACGAAATCCCAAGTTGGTATCTCTGGTTACATTTATTCTAGATTCTCACCCTTAAAGTGACGGAAAAGTGTTTGATATAACGGTAAAGGGTAAATTGGTCATTTTGCATGGATGTCGCACGTTAGCAGATTGCTGCCTCTAACAGTCATTCGACGCACATTAGCAGACGACGTCCTCAATGTTTTTCGCCCTTTTTCTGGCGATTCTTCCACCCAAAATCACCCTTGTCACCACCATTTGAACCCTCATCCGCCCCTTTACAAAACCTTACCCCTCATCACTCGCCAATCGCCAACCATGACAATTACGACATGTGACTGGTTTTTGTTGGTTTTCAGCGGTTTTGAACGGCAAAAACCCCAACCACCACCACCATTTGACTCCTCGCATCCTCCCCAAAAAAACCCTTAACCTTCCCTGCCACGACAGCTCACCGTTTGCCGTCTACCACTTCACCAAAAAATGGCCGATGAACATGAACTCTCAGTCAGTGAACGGTGACTAAACAGTTGCTCAGGACATAGGGGTTTTATAGAGTTGGAGACGTTGGTTGTAGGGGTGTCCAATTGGATTTTTGCCATCGGAATCCGACAAAGAACAGCGAAACCCTAAGCCTAACGGCGTTGGCGATTGGAGGGGCCAATGAGTTAGGAACCATAGGGGTTTTGGACGACGAACTATGAGGAAGGTGATGGAGGTGACTAGGGGGTTTGACACCATCAAAAACAGCCCAGATCGAGCAAAAACTGTGAGAGTGTGCAGTGACCGAGGGTGTTATTGAGATAATTTGAAAATAAAATTGTAAGTTTTCTATTTCTACTAATTTAGGGGTTAAAAAAATTTATTAATTTAGGGTTATGGACATTATGGTAATTTCACTCTCTATACCCTAAAAATTACTAACAATGTTATTTTAAGGATAAGAATTTGAAATAAATATAACTAGGGTACCATTAGGATTTCGTCAAACCTTAGGTGGGTCTATGTTGTTTACTCTTATACAACAAATATCTGGTACAAATGGATAAACCCGCCACGTAGTTAGCTACAGTTATCATAGCATCCAATAAAAAAGTCAAAGAGCAAAGCGGATAAAGCAACAAAATATCTGAACCGTACGATACAATCGAACATTTCCAATAACCACCACTCCACGGTCGGATCTCATACTCATGTGGTCCCCGCCCAACCGACTCAAAACGAACCTCGCCCCCTACTGACACAATTGGATCCTATTATCTCATTAGTCAGTAGTCACTACCTACACTCACACTCAGCCATTGACAGACCTTATACTGGACCTTCTAGAACGTTCTACAAATAGAGCAGAACTCGTCTTCTAGAACCTCCAAGGTCAATGGCTGAGACTCAGAGATCCACCGGTACAGTAAAATGGTTCAGTGCCCAGAAAGGCTTCGGATTTATAGCTCCAGATGAAGGGGGCGAAGACCTCTTCGTCCACCAAACCTCAATCCGATCCGAGGGTTTCAGGACTCTCTCCGAAGGCCAACCCGTTGAATTCGCCGTTGACTTTGGAGAGGATGGCCGTTCGAAAGCCATTGACGTGGAGCCCGTCCCCAGATCCCACCGTCCAGGAAATCGCGGCGGGAGAGGCGGAGGATTTTTCGTTGGAAGGGGCAGAGGAGGTGGCTATGGTAGAGGTGGGAGAGGAGGTCGCTTCGGTGGCGGCGGCGCATGTTATAATTGTGGAAGAACGGGGCATTTAGCCAGGGATTGCTATAGCGGCGGTGGTGGAGGTGGTGGAGGTTGGGGATATGGCGGAGGCCGCGGCAGTGGAAGAGGAGGAGGCGGAGGCGGAGGAGCAGGGTGTTATAATTGTGGGGAGGAAGGGCATTTTGCGAGGGATTGTCCGAATTATGAACAAAAGTGATAGATGATGAAGGAGAAGTTGTTAATTTCCGTGGCCAATTGTTTCGGTTTTTGCTTTGGTTAAGTATGTCACAATGGGGATTTGGTAATGTGGGTGATTTTTTTTTTTACTTTGCTGGTTTTAAATCATCATTGTTTTCTTATAAATCGATAATCTTTCACATGTTGTGCAATAGGAAATGGAAAAGCTTAGTATTTATTGTCCCTTATTTTGCTGATTAATGCTATTTTCTTGCATGCTTACTTGTTTGCAACTCACAACTCATCTTTAATTTAACTATACTTCAGTTTATACATTGTAGATTTTGGTTTGATAATGTCAAAAAAAAAAAAAAAAAAGTCTATTCATTAGTGTCATGGTCCTTGAAAGAGATGGTGAACTTGAGGCTTGCAATCTTAATGTTTTGGACTTCTCAATTTCAATGGATTTTGTTGATTTTTTTGTGGATAGGATAACTAGAAATATTGTGGGAGTTCTTTTATGGTGGCTTTTTAAAGTCTTATCTTCAGGAGCTACTTATGTGAGGACATAGTAGAGTGTAGAGCTTGTTTAGAGTTTTCTCTTATCATTTATTGGCTGCGTTTTTTGCAATTTCTTAATTGCCACTAACATTTTGGATGTCTGTCGAAAGTGCCTCAACATATGCATATACACTCATCTTATCCATTTTCCTTACAAGAAATAAGAACCAAGTCATATGTGTATGGTGGGCGTTGAATTCTTTTAAATCCTTATCTATGTTTAGTATCTGATGAGAGGCTGATATTAAATAGATTAAGATTGCATTTATTTTCCTTTATATTAGATCTGTCACTGCTTGATGATATAACACATGGACTTTATCTCATGGTTCCTTGTTCCCATAGTTTGTTTTCTCCTTAAACCACTGGCGTTGTTGAAATGGTTCATATGAAATCTATATTTCTGGACTATGAACAACAGAGAAAAGATTTCTCCTAATATTCTAATAGTTCTAGATAATGTGAGGAAGCAAACTGTTCTTGTTGGCCATGTGAGAAAACGGATAAGATGTTGGGTTCTTAAAAGCCTTTTTATATAGTGGAATAGTTATTCCCTTGAATGTTAAATTTGTAGTCTCTGGTAACCTGTCATTTCAGCTCAAGGGAATAAAACAGAGATGAATTTAAAATTAAGAACTTTCTCTTGTGTAAGCCTCTTTTCTTACTACCATCATTTATTGGTGAATTCTCTGATGTTCCCTTTGAGCAATATCAGAAAGAGACTTTTTGACTGCAACTGTGTGTGGAAAAACATGGATAAACTTTTCCATTATGTCTAAAAGAAATTAATAAAAAAAGTAGTCTCGGTACTTTTTAGGTCTTATAACCGTTGAACAAGCTATGTTAATGCATCCTATAGTGCTAGAGCTATCAAATCTTTGTTAGAATTTTTTTGCTACAAATTAAACCCTGGTTTTGGAATTGTTTCTCTGTTATTTTCAATCCTATGACAATATGTTTGTTGATTTCTGATATTCACATATCAGGAGGCAAAAATTGAAATTCTGCTCTCGAGTGCTATGGATCATTAAGGAATTAGTGTATTGCTGTTTTCCTATGTTGACTGAGAGTTAACTTTCTGTTTCGATTGCATCCCTTAATGTAGAATAAATCTATATTATAAGCACTAGTACTTCATAGTTGAGTTTATCTTCAATTTCTATACTTTGCTCTTTGGTAAAATGGCTTTGTATAGTTAACGTTATTTGCTTCTTTTCTTTAGTGAAGCACTTATAATGGTCTTTACATTGAATAATTCTCCTATTTGCCTTCTCCTCGGTGAGTTCTTTCTGGGGTGAATCTGCAATAAGCCAAATGATTTGAAAGTTTATGTTTTATGGAGATAGTTGTCCATTTATGCAAATCACATCTTTACAATTGATTAACCATTAAAGGTCATTTTCTTCGATTAATCATCGTTTGCTTCCCTCCTATAACTATCTTAGTGTTAGAATCACTCTGATCTCAAATTCTCAATTAGTTGCTTGGGGTACAAGTGGACTTTGATCTTGGGAGAGAGCAAAGTGCTTAGTTTTATTGGCTTTCATATAGAAGTCTAAGTTTGAAAGTAATTGAATCCAGTTTTGGTATTAAATTTCGTTATACTTTGAGTGGATGATGACTATTAGCTATCATATTAAGGATGTTATGTGCAGTGTTTTGAAAACCAGACCGGACCGGCTGGTTGAACCGATAGGTCCAACCTATCACCGGCACCCTCTCCGATCCGGGTTACCATTTTCAACTGCTCACAGAATCCCGAACTTGACCGTTGACGAATAAGGGGCTACCAAGTGCTGAGGTTAGAGGGATTTTGTAGAGTTGAGGCTGGTGGTTCAAGGGGTGATGTCAGATTGAATTTTGGACGTTGGAATGAGCTAGAATTTGGCCAGAAAAATCAACCCAATACGCGAGTCACGGCCGACGAATAGAGCGTGACCAAGTGTCAGGGTTAGAGGGATTTTGTAGAGGGGATGTTGATGGTTCAGGTGGAGGTGTTGGATTAAATTTTGGACATTGAAATCAGTCAGAATTTGGTCGAAAAAATCAACCCCATCATAGTGGTATACGCGAGTCACGGCTGGCGAATAGGGGGCTATCAAATTTTGAGGTTAGAGGGATTTTGTAGAGTGGAGACTGATGGTTCAAGTGGAGGTGTCGGATTAAATTTTGGACGTTGAAATTAGTCGAAATTTGTTCGAAAAAATCAACCCCATCGTGGTGGTATGAGCGAGTCACAGCTGAAAAAAAGGGCGTGTGGCGTTGTCAAATTTTGGGGTTAGATGGATTTTGTAGAGTGGAGGACGGTGGTGGTGTCAGATTGAATTTTGGCCGTCGAAATCAATCAGAATTTGGCCGGAAAAATAAAAATCCAAACAGATTGTAGGGGTTTATTTGCTAGAATTTAAACCTGTAAGGACTGATATGTATTTTTTAGGGGGGTGTTTGCAACATTTCAAACTTGTTGGATCACCGGTTAGATTGTCGGTTTAACTAGTCGGACCGGTCAACCCTGAAACCAACCCCTTAGCCGGGTGACACGTTAGGTCAGGTTTCAGAACATTGGTTATGTGTTCATCTCTCGGAAATATCAAATCTGATTAAGTTTTAAGATTTTGCTTGTTTCAATGTGGCAATTAACCATTAATTACATTTACGGTGCTGGCGTCATATTGAAATTTTGGTTGTCGAAAATCGAAATCAGTCAGAATTTGGCAGGAAAAATAAAAATCCAAACAAATTGTAAGGGTGTATTTGCTAGAATTCAAACCTGTAGAGACTGATATGTGTTTTTTAGGGGTGTGTTTGTAACATTTCAAACTTGTTGGATCACCGGAATTGTTGGTTTAACCAATCGGACCAGTCAACCCTGGACCCAGCCCCTTAGCCGGGTGACACGCAGGGTCAGGTTTTAGAACATTGGTTATGTGTTCATCTCTCGAAAATATCGAATCTAATTAAGTTTTAAGATTTTGCTTGTTTCAATGTGGCAATTAACCATTAATTACATTTCTTTCATTTATTTTTATATGTATGGGCATAACTTAACGATTTACTTTATGCCTACCATCCGTTTCTCTGGCCTCGCTGAGGCTTGCCTAATGAGTAGGTGAATTGAAGGTATTATGAATTTTCTACTTTAAATTAAAATAATATGATTTGCAAAAACTTTATACCTAGAAATTGATCCATGTAGAATTTAGTGAACACCCGGTGCTTATTGCCGCATGATTTACTTGCATGTTTGAGACTGGTTTAAACTGTAATGTCAAAATTGTAGCTTCATTTTGTTGGTAGGAAATAGGAATTGTAACATGTTACTGGCAATATGCTGACATTAATTGCCTATCTTAATAATGACAAGAAGAAGAGAAGGCCATGGGGTTTCTGTTCATGTACATGCTATTTTATTTAGGCTTTCCTCTCCTTGTTATCTTCTGTCTAAACAACTGTTTAACAAATATGTTCAATTGTCTGATTTCTGGTCAATTTTCCATTCTATCTAATAGGTTTACAGATTTTACTCAATTCTTTTTTCCGTCTCACTGATCGTCAGAAATTTTGACAAGTTTCTCGAGACATTTTATATTCCCGGTGAGGCTAAAATTTTGATGATTATACAAAAGCTGAAAGGAGTCAGGGAGCACGTAATGGAAGGGTATTAACAGCACAAGAACAAAAACTGACATAGTGATATGCCATTGGATAATAACACCACCAAAGTAATGTAGTACATTTATAAGTTTCTTGGAGCTTTCCTGCACTAAATTTTCCATTACAACTGAATATCTACTTTCTATTTTGCTGCTTTCAGGATATAAAATTTTAAGCGGACGAAAGAATTCAATTTTTTGAAAACCCCCCTGACTCTAGCGATCATCATTTTCAGCTCAATGATCCTACCAAAAACTTAAATCAACAGATAATTTATGAAACCTCAAGTTGTGTCTTCGAAGTCGGCTGTGCCAGTGCAACATTTAAATTTTCTTGTTGCACATGCAATAAGATCTTATTAAAGATAGTCAAGTAAAGAAAGTTATTTGATTTCTATTATATTGTTCTGGCCTCTCAAAATTAACCAAAATGATCAACAAGACTGGAAAATTTTTCTTTCTCATGGCAACATAAATGATATTTACAATTCAATTTACCTCTAAAAGTGCAAAATATGGTCTTTTCTATTTCAGAATGGCCGAACGACTTGCGCATACCCCAAGGTTTGCCGTAATGATAAATTGATATCTAAAAGGTTTAAAAACGACAAACAAGTATCTTCCGTCATGTGCTGTTAGTGATTTCTGTTTGTTCATAGTGAAAAGACTAAAATACCCTTAAAAGTTTGATATTTTAGTTTTTTATCAATTTAAAAATTTCTAAAAAACCCCCTAGGTTTGCTAATTTAACTAAACACTCTTATATATAAAAAGTTTGTTAAATGACAAAAACACCCCCACCACCCGTAGTGCCAGATTCTGGCCACCACTGTCGGAAAGTGACCGAAAAATTACGTTACGACACAGACCCGTCGGATCTATGTCGTAACGTGTCGATCTGGCCATCGAGGCAGCAGATGGAGTTTTGTGGCCTCGACGGCTTGATCTGGCCGAGAAAGGCTAGATTTACGGCTAGATTTGGCCATCATGGCCGCAAAACTCCATTTGCGGCGTCGACGGCCAGATCTGG